AAATAATGTAAATAACGTAGTATTGTGGCATTTCCAAAAAGCAAAAAATACTGTAAATTGGCAGTTACGTAAATATTGACGTTTACATGCATTTTTAATCAACATATCTTTTAAAGGATGATGTAATCTAGTTTTAAAGGAATATGACCTTCCTGTCATGACAGTAGCTGCTTAAATAGTATTTACTCATTGTGCTATTTTTTACAGTCAAAATGTATTTTCAATAATGTTACCAACCCAGTGGGCCACGGTCCGTAATATAGGCCACTGCAAATAATTTGTCAAGATAGGTACCATTTTAGGCAAAGGTTTCTGTGTTTGGATGTTATTAGACACAGTAAGAGCACAATAAACTTCTTCTGCAGATGAATTATCTGTTGGAGAAGTATGATCCGAATTGTAAAATGTCACAATGCGAGGTTCAGCATATTAAGTAGAGGTGTGCGGATATCCGAAAAATCGGGTCGGATTGGGTTCGGTTCGGATATCCGTATCCGAACTGGGCCCAAATTTGATATCCGACACTATCCGTTATATATCCGACTTTTTCGGATAGATAATATATTTTGACGTTTTGGACAGAAAACTAAATCTCCATAGCCACCATTAGTTTCCCAGGACAAAATTACAGCAATACGTTTCCAACGACCTAACAGCAAACGGCAAAGAAGCCGTATGATGCAATACTGATAACTAGTTTAGTCGTTATCGGCGGTTTTGCTTTACGATTAGATTCGTCGTGAACGGACAGACATAAAGCAGAAAAGAACTGTCTCGCTCCTGATACTAGGGGCGCTGTGTAATAGTTTTTTTTACAGTACTGTTTCAAAGTAGAAAAATCTAGCATACTACTGTGATGTTTCGTAAAAAATAGATTTAATGTTTCCCGAAAAAAAGTCAGAATAGAAACAATAGAAAGGCAACACAATAGAAGGGTGGTAGGGGTTGGGCAATGACCTCGAAAGGAGCGTGGGTAGTGAGTCAAATAGGACCGGAGGGGGAAGGGGTCGGGTGGGTAAGACCTTGAAGCTATATATAGACTTGCACTACTTCCCTAAACCTAAAGGACTGGCCGGCGAGTGGTATTCCAATCACAGGACAAGATACGTTGTTTTTTGGGTATTCATTGCCCGGTTTGACTTTGGATTGTCTTACTGTGTAGAAACTTTGAATGAAAAAAAATAAAGTTAGAACTAACCACGATTATTTAGCATTGATTGTGTACATATTAAATGATTAAACTATAGGGACCATGGATATATACAAACTTTTGTCGTGATTTTAATTTCAACATCAAAATACAATATTGCACAATCGTGATATTTTAGGTCATTGACCTTTACTATGCATCCGGTATTGCTGTTTCAGAAGAGAAGCACGTTGATAAATTATAAATTGATATTCCCGTAGTTAAAAAGAATTATTTTATAAACCTATAAAACAAAATCATAAAATCTTACATAAAGATAACAATAACGGAAATTGTAAAAAGGGTATAAAGATAACAACGTTATTCTTTCTCTTTGTTCTTCTATTTCTTGGGTTTCCCTTCATCACGCATTCAACAAGTTGCCATGGTTACTAATCACCCATGTCGTTATCAGCTGCTGTGCACAGCAGGGGGGTAAAACTTGACAAAAATCGGTTAATTTTTACCTATTATTTAATTACCAATGAATGTACTACTTTATTGGTATTTGGTACTGTATTAATAATCGGTCAAAATGGCCGATTTTTGTCAAATTTTACACCAAATTTATTGAAATTTCAAGGTGAATAAATAAAACAATTATTACCAAATATTTGTATTTATTTAAAAGATTGATTTGTGGTATTGGGTTCCCCACTGAGTGCAGCCGAGCGGCACTAATGAGGGTCGGACCTTCTTGGGGGTGAACAATAGACGGCTTATCAGACCCTCCCCTCCCCCGTGGTCTGGAGAAAGCTTGTAAACAAACTTTTGCACAAGCGTGACTTGACATTGGGCTGCTTCAACTATAATTTTGTCAAATGAACTGTGATGTTTCAAAAACAATAATTTGGGACCATACTGCTTAACATAAATGGACTGCAATTATTGTTGAACATACAATTCATTTGTAACAAACTAAGATTATACGATTAAAATACAATTATAAAAATTATCTTGGTATTTTACTTGGGGTAGTGAAGTTATGTAGGCTAGTGTAATTCTCGGTTCATCAAGGTTCTACTGAATTATGTTTGGCAGTGAATAAGTGTAGGATGCAATTTATAAATTCAGGGATACACACCTTTTACAGTTATAAAGCCTAATTTAATTGCCCAACATTAAATCGTGAGCTAGAGCCCATCTTAGTGCATTTGCGATGTTTTCTAAACTTGGCAAACCTGCAAAATGCCACTTAAGGCCAATAACCCGTTCCAAAAACGTAAGGAAATACAATGTGAAAATAGACTTGAGATCGAACTCCTTGGCTTGTGAGAACCAGGAAACAAGATAAAACATAACCTCAAGTAAACTAGCCCAAACGTTTGACATCAGTCCTGCTGAGCTTAGGTGTTGTGTGAAGATTTCGGCTGCTAGTGTACTTAATTCAAGCAACCAATTTTTGAAAATAAATGTTGTGAATTGTGATTTTCAAGAGAGAGAAAACTGTGGACTTGGCTAATTTGAAATTCTATAGCTAAAAATTGTCATTTAAGTTTATTTACACAGCTTTACATTGTTTTATAGGTTAAAAATACATATGCAGCTTATTATTAACCGCGCCAAACTATCCGAATCTGAAAATATCCGAATCCGAACCTCCCAATATCCGATCCGATCCGAAATGAAATTTCACTATCCGCACACCTCTAATATTAAGTAAGTTAAAGAGATTTTTTTTAGGCTGCAGCTCAGTGCACTTTAAGAATGTAATTTTTTGAGATAAATTAAATGGTTTTTGTTACTGAGTAGCGCTAGTAAACATGCACAACCCTTTTTCGTTAGTGTTTAACATTCAAAGGCTCTCTAAGAGTTCAAGTTTTTTTTATTTTTTTTATTTAATTTTTTATTCATATCCATATTATGTTTTCACTAAGATGAATGAATACATTGAAGTAACCTCTCTGAAAAGTCTACAATATATTGCAGTTTTCCAGCTTAAAGACTTTCTAAATCATGCACATATTTCTACACAAATATTTTACAATTTTTGTAACATGTATGACAATAATCTCATGAACCTATGACGATCTGTCTAGAATAATATGATAAAATATAGGCAAAAGTGGTGAAAAATGCAGACACCAACCCGTAAAATAGATATAAGATTGTTCAATAAGAAATAATTATAAGAGATACTGTGATAAAAGGATTTCCCACTGATATCGTATTGGATTGTTATAATGCAAGACATGACATGATACAGACGAAAATCAATTTTAAAATCAGAAGATAACATTAATTGCAAATAGGCAACTTCTTTTGGACAATTCAGTAACTCCCTATAAATGTGTGTTGTTTAGAATACAATTTAAAAATGAACAGCTGTTTCATAAAAAGTATTATCCACATGGCCAAAATGTAAAAAAATCTGTGGAGGGATCTTTAAAGGCTTCTTGAGTAGAGCCCTAAGGGAATTTACTTCGCTTTTCTTTTGATAAATGATCTACAGACCAAGACCTTTCTTTTGACACCCCTACCAAGTTTCTTAAGCCCAGCCGTTCTCTCAAATTAGTGGAGATAAAGTTTCTAATTAAATATTTAAATTCCCCCATGTCTTATGGGAGAAAACCCAACTTTGATGGAAGATCCTGCCCAAACTAATGAAGATTTCAAAAAACCAAAAACACTTTGCAAAACTACAGATCAGGGCAATATTTTGACACTTTAATCGTCAAAATCTGTCCAAAAATGTGGGAGGAGTTCTGTTTACAAAAATCGTCTTAGCGTATTATATATATAAATAGCCTTTATTAAACAACTAGTCAATGTATTCTACTGTTCATCCCAATCTATAGTGTTGCTCAGACCAATGCTTATTTGCTCGTTCCGATATTTTTTAATCAAAAAACCTAATTTTTCTTCAACCTAGGGCCAAATCTCTGTAGAAGTCTTATATTTGGAAGAAATATCAATGTTACAAAATGACATCTTTATTAATTTGTCACATAGAATTTACATTACATCACCAGTAAACATATGACATGTCAGTTTTTACAACAAAATATTATACATTTTATTTTATTGTAATTAGAAATTTACTAAAAATAGGGTCAGAACAGAAGTTTAAAAATATATTTAAAAAAGAGAGGCATTAGTTACAAAAGCAATCTTCAAATGAATAAGGACAAAGTAGTTCCAAATAAAGCAGTTTTTTTTATATATCCATCTTTTCTGTCGATTTGATTTGGTTAGGGAGGTGGTTGAATAGTTGGCTGGTAGATTTCCACAGAGAACCTACGATATATTATCGGATGAATAACGCTAAATAACAAAATTTATTCGTTTCAATATATCGATTATAATCTTTTTTTTTAATTTTGTAACTATCATAATTTTTAAATTGGTTTGTTTGATTAGTTTGAAGTAGTGATACGGATATACTTCAGTTGAAAATGAAACAATGAATGAATGATCTTATTTAGGCATGTGGGGAAGGCAGATTTGGGGTTTATGCGAGTTCGTGGCTGCATTAAGTGTTTTGAAGTTAGGTTAGATTAAGAAGGTAAAGTGTAGGTTATAGGCGATCGGTTTGTTTATTGATGTTACACCCATGTTGTTTTGTTATCTTTTGTAATAGTTGATTAAATGACGAGACAATTAAAAACAAGGAGTTATATAGTATTGAAAAAAACATTTAAAACTTTCATTACATATAACACACAACAACAGTGACATACAACTATACAACTACAATTATGACATACAATTATTTCTTGTACCCTTTACAAAAAGACCATCTACCCTGAAAATGTGTTACAAATTTATCTCACTCAATATGTCTCCTGTATTAACACATGTAAAATTTCAGAGGGAAAATTTTGTACACACCTGAAACAGTGGTTACCAAGAGGATTATGGAAAAGTTGAACTCAGCATTTGCAATCGTCAAAGAAGCTCATGATTTCAGTAACAACCTTGCAAACTTCACTCTACCCCAACTGAAGACATTGCTGTACAACAACACTGCACAGTTGGCAATAATTAAGGTTAGTCTTTTGGTTATCATCTATGTATGCAAATAGATTTTTTTTTTTCAATTTTTACTCTTAATTGCTGAATAATTTAGCATACTGTAGATACCACTGTGAAACAAATGGAAAATGTAAAATGAAATTTATTTGCTGAGTGATGTGCCATTCATTCTTACTTGAACCAGTTCCTGACTAAAATCGATTCTGGGCTCTAGACACTGGTGCAATCAGTACCTAACTAAATAGAACTCATTCTTCAAAAGTAAATTACATTTCGTTACATAATCATGTCATAAAAATATGTCAGTACAAAGAGTTATCTGATTTAGTGTTTTAACAGTTTTTGTGATGAAATTTAAGGATCAAATGCAGTTAATTTAAAAGTCGTGGATGCTAAATTTTGTCCAGGGACTAGTTTTACTGCCAGAAAATTAAGACTAGTAGCTTTTTTAAACAAATTTAAATAAATAAAGTAAAATGAAGAACTTTATATACTTAAATAAAATAACATATTGTTTCTGTTTGCTAGTATTCTTATATATAATACATGAAAGCGATTTATACAAAACACTCCTTTTTTGTTAATAATTGACGGATTTTCACAAACAATGTGTCAAAATTAAGTATTTTTAGTGTAGACGCCCCCTTTCACAAATTCCTGTAATTAAAGTCCTTGGGCTTTGTCCCACTGACCATCAAAATCCAAATGTATTTCTTATGAAATAAATATTTTTTTTTACTTAAACAGCCGAATAATTTGTGTTAACTGCATACTAAAACATATTTTATATATCTATTTTCAATTTAATTAAAGTTAATTTCAAAACTACCTTTGACTTTTTAAAAATGGGTTTGGTCCCTTTCATGAAGACTCTAGCCCTGAATATGCAAGAAAAAATATACGAAACTTTCTCAAAGAATTTCTAACTGTTTCAGGAACTGATTAAATGGTGAGTTTTGACATTGGTTTTTGGTTTTCTTCTTTTTGAGGGTTTGCAGATTGCTGTGTACTTTACCTTCTGGTGTTGGGATGATAATTTGATCCATGTAAATATCAAATATTATTTTTGTTCGTTATTGAAGAATATTTTAATATACTAGTGCTATTTTATGAACTACAAACTAAAAATATAATTATAGTTCATAGAGTCTAAAACCTCATGGATGTAAAGAAGTATAGATTTACAGTTTGATATTTTTTACATAGGTAGCAAGAGTGGGTGTGACTGGTCTAATGGTTGGAGCGCAGGGTTTCTTGCCTGAAGGCCATTGTTCAAATCCCACTGATCACCAATGACTTTCATGTTAAAATTTATTAGTTCATAGTACTGAAAGAGCTATGAATTGATATGTTACATATAAAATTACAAACGTTTAATAGCAGATTTAAATTATTTTCAGTTGTTTTTCGACTCTCCTAGAGGTGAGGCCTTGTTGAACGACACTTTTCTTCACAGCTTCCTTGGGAAAAATTACAACAAAACCATAACAACTTTCAAAGAAGATCTGGATAGGTAAATATCTTTATTCTGTCTATAGGTTCCATTTTTAAAAAATAAACTTCAATACTAATTAGTGATGAGCGGATCCAAGAAAATGTCGGTACCTCATCCAGATCTTGAAAAATTCAAGACAGATATGTACTGTCATAAGAACTGATTTAAAAAAAATCTATTCTATATAAAATTCAGTTTTTAAAATCTTTGTACAACTAAATCTAGAGTTCTATTACTTCTATTGGACCAAATTTAATAACTATTGGGTAGTTGGAAAGCTTAATTTGTGTAGATTTGCAAATAATTATGAAAGTTTGTGTTTGTTATGATTTATGGTGAAAAATAAAAAAAAGGTTTTCCATAAGAAATACATTGAAAACGGTGTTTTCACACTTTTTATTTGGGTGAGACTTTTTGCGGCCTTTTTTGAGTGTTTTAAAGAAGTGTATGGTACCAGTTTGTAGGAAATTTTATTCTCTTTCAGAATATCACCTTCCACTTTAGTCGATTTCCTCATTATTTAAAAGTTATTTGCAAAAAAGCTAAGCAACCTCCGAATTTATAGTAATGAGAAAATACTGAGTTAGGGATATTTTTGTTAAACTTTGTACAATTAAATCTAGACTTCTACTGGACCGATTTTGTTAATTAATGGGTCATTGGAAAGCCCAACTCATGTAGATTTGCAAATAATTATGAACGTGTGATTTTATTAAATCTTTGTGGTAAAAGAGTAAAAATAACAAAAATACATTAAAAACTGTTTTTTTAAGTTTCTGTTTTCAAGTTTCTATTTGTAGCCAGCTTTTGGCTGCCTTTATTAAGCATTTTCAAGAAATGCATAGTAGTTATTTGTAGTAAATTTTATTCTCTTTCAGAATATCACATCCACTTTGGTCGATTTCCCCTCCATTTAAAAGTTATTGGCAATAATCTAAGTGGTCTCCAAATTTATAGTAGTGAGAAAATACTGAATTAGATATTTTTTTTTAAACTTTGTACAACTAAATCTAGACTTCTACCGGACCGATTTTGTAACTTAATGGGTCGTTGGAAAGCCTAATTTGTGTAGATTTGCAAATAATTATGAAAAATTGATTTTATTACATATATGAGGTAAAACAATAAAAATAAACAATATTACATTTAAAACGCCTTTTTTCCAAGATTATATTTCCAAGTTTATATTTGTAGCCAACTTTAGGCTGCCTTTATTGAGTATTTTCCAGAAACACACATTAGTAATTTGTAGGAAATGTTATTCTCTATCAGAATATCACCTTCCACTTTGGTCGATTTCCTCACCATTTCAAAGTTATTTTCAAAAACGTTAAACAACCTCTAAATTTATAATGGTGAGAAAATACTGAACTAAAGATTTTGTTGTTAAACTTTGTACAATTAGATTTACTAGGTGAAACCATCAATTCTGACAGTTGCTGTTGAGGTTGCAAGCAAGACCGTTTGCTATAAATCAATGATAAATAACTCCATTTTTTAAAAAAATTTGGGTTATTGTTATTCAATTGATTTTTCTTTGATTAAATGTTGTTGTTCACAATTTGCATTTGTGTTTAAAGTGAGTTCCTTGTGTTAAGTATGTGATTCTAATGTTATGTGCCTAAGCTATACCATTAATATTAGTGAGTAAAGTGTATGGATTTCACAACCATTATATTACTAGAGACCGTTGTATTTAACCACAACGGGCTCTGGTGCTAGTAATGAAATATTTACAGAAATCCAATTAAAGTCATACTGTTTAAAATTAAAGTAACAGGAGACCAAGCTTTGCTCGGATTTAATTAAACATTAAATTTATTAGATAAGTTATTTAGCAAAATTAAAGATATATATTATGTACCTACGTTAATCAATGTGAACAAATTTTAAATGATACAAAGAAAACTTTTTAATACACCTTTATAAATACATAGCTTGCCATAAAAATTATCTGTATCAGCTGTTGTATTAACTGCAGGAAAGGTATTAACATTATATCGGTGCTTCACAGGGCAGTAGGGCGGAAACTGGATTTTTCCCAGCCTTGTGACCTAATCGATTTCTTGTGGCCAAATACCCCATGATAAAAAAAATTTTAAATCCTCTGACAAAATAAAATTGCGATGGTTTATGTCTGTAAATACTTTGTAAATATAATGTGTTAGGTGTTTGGTAAAAATTGTATGTATACGTAACGAATCGTTCTACAAGGATTGTCCTGATGATGTGACTGTCATAACGAAACCGGTTGTCACAAGAAGAATAAAAGGATATTGAATAAGGTAACAGGTTATTTCATTAAAAAAAAATCGGATCCATCAAAACCGGATCCAGCCCAAGATCCAATTTTTGTGGATCCGATCGGGCGTCGGTTATAGCTCAGATCCCGTGTAACCCGTAGTCTGATATCCGGATTCGACCATCACTAATACAAATATTTGCTGTTGTAACATGAGATAAATTTCTTCAACACTAGATAAACAAACCAAATTTACATGATTAAGGGCATAGAACGATCTGTTTGTGGCTGATTCAAAATTATTATTTTTATCTTCAAACATCTTTCCCCAAAACTAACCTTTTAACACAAAAAATAGACTATCCAGAAATTGTGTTGTAAATACATAAATTTCTCAGTTTCTCACCCCTATTCTTGCGGTTAAATAGGACTTTGCTTATTTTCATAGCTGGTCCATTCCTACACATATAGGAAATCGTAATTCTTTCTTTAAATATTTTCTTTGTTTATTTGATTTATTAACTTGTAATTCAATGTGTTTATCTCCTTCTGCACACATAATTAGTCCCGATTGTATTTTTAAATAACAACAAGAATAGCAATTATTTTAAAATTGCGTTGATACGTTCCCTGAAATAAACAGATTCAAAGGGATTAATTCTATACGCAGGTATTTACTCTTTTTTTATATTTACCAACAATCCAGAGGATATAATACTATTATGAAACAATTACTTGTTTTTTACTAGGTTTCTCGATCCCAACAACACTGTTTACCGGGAGGAAACTTTTGACCGCTTGATCAACATTACAACTAATACAACAGAATTTTTGGAGGTTAGTAACAGTAAGTTAGAAAGAAAGATTGTAGAGCTGGAATTGTAGCTTAGCTGTAAACAAATCATTAAAAAGACAATTATTTTGCTTTGAAATTTGTGTATGATTCAAAAACAAATTGTATGGAATAAAGACAAATCTAGAAACAAGTTTTTTTTCAAAATTTCACTACATTAACACGTTCACTGCTAATGACGCACTTGTGCGTCATAAGTATATTAGCAGATATATAATACATAAAGTATATAATTACATAATATATTTTAATCCACAATTTATAGTATAAAATTTATTTAATTAAAGATATATTGTCACTCAATTAACATGATCATGTTAATGTTTATGTTTTTTAGCCATTTATAAAAGTATTACATATCATTAGCAGTGAATGTGTTAATAATATAAAGATTATTATTAGGTAAAATGACATGTTATTTTGTGAAAGTAAACCATCTTGTCAGAAAAGTAAAGTAAAACTCTTACATTTCTCTCCATGATTGACTATACTGGTACAGCAAAATTTCTGCCTTAAGCTACAATTGCTGGTCAACCTTGCTAATCTGAAGACACTGTAGTAGTATTTATGCCACAGTGAAGTGACCCTAAGTTAAAGCATAGACAAAAATAATTAAATATAGACCGTCAGCCGTGCTGCGGCTACCATAGGTTCTGGCCCACACCGCTGGGAGCATCATGTAGTTACGGCGTACGCGCCACGTAACTTCACGGCGCTCCCAGTGGTAACCGTAGCACGGCTGAAGTCTATATTTAATTTTTTTGTCTATAGTTAAAGTGGCCAAATCATTGCCAGGAAACACTGACTGGCTCTATTGTACCATAGACTGTATTGACACTTGCTGTCTGTAGTGTTTCGACTGGGACAAGGTGGTGCCGTATAACACTGAGACGGAGGCTATGGTTGCTGGTATGGAGCTGGTTGAGGACAACAAGTTATGGGCTCTCGTGGTCTTTATAAACCCTGGAAACACTACTCTCAACCCCAACACGACGTACAAGATCAGGTAGGAGTCTCAACCCAGGGATTTTGTGTTTAGTTCTGTGTTAACCACGACATTTTAATTGAAAAGCTAGGCAAAATTGGAGTTATAGGAAAAGAGCAACTGTGGTTTTCTTCCTATTTAACTAATAGATACCAGAGAACTAAAATCAGCAAAAATGGTCAACAAGTAAATTAGGGATGGACGAGATTGGATTTTTAGTTCGAGACGTGACGAGACGAGATTTTTTATTTCTCATAAAACTTCGAGACGAGATCGAGACGGGATTTCCCTTCTCATACACAACGGGAAATGCACGTTCAAAATTTTTACCTGATTTTGTAACATTGTTAGATGACTGTTTAAATACAAAAATAATGATAATAGGCAAGAATATTTACAATCTTTTATTAAAAAACATCAGCATAACATTTTTTTTATTAATCACACTTAACTTATTAAAAATACCTACGGTTAGGAAACATAGTGATATCAGTTAGGATAGAGTTCAACTTATCCTAAAATAAAATAAATCAAATAAAATTAAAAAAAACAACAACTTCCAGTTCAACAACTCCGTAAAATAAATCATAAAATAAAAGCAATATTAGTTTTTATAAAATAGTTACTTGTTTTGACTTTTTATAGTAATAAAACATTCCTCACACTGCTTACACTTAACAAAACTTCTCAAATGTTATTAAAGTAATATTATTAAAATAATTAAAGTAATATTTACATTTAAAGAATTAATTAAATAAGAACGCCTTCGCAAAGGAAACACAACTACAACACGCTCCTGTATTGCGGGTATTGCATTGACTTTCTACAGGCGTTTTTAAATTTTTTTTTTTTTATTCTCGTCTTGATAAAAATCTCGGCCAAAAAGAAATCTTGTCTCGTGTAACGAGATTTATAATTTCCCGAAAATTTCCCGAAATTTCGAGACTTTACCATCCCTAAAGTAAATTCATCTTGGGATAAAGTGCAATGTGGTGTGCCACATGGGTCAATATTGGGTCCCTCTTTGTTTTTAATCTATGTAAATGATCTGCCAAATATAACAAAGAGAAACTTTTTCAATATGCAGATGACACAATGCTTTTGTGTAGAGGACCCACTATTGACGTCCTGCAGACTAGCATAGACAAAGAATTCTCTGCTCTGGGTAACTGGTTCCGGGCAAATGGTCTGGCCCTAAATGTGGAAAAAACCCAAATTATAAACTTTTCAGCTAACTACAGGGAAGATGATTCAAATCACATTATCCTTTCAAATCATCAATTATCTCCACAACGAAATGTAAAATTCCTTGGATTAATTTTGAATAAAAATCTTAACTGGGCATCTCAAATTGAAAATTTAAGTAAAAAATTAGACCCTTGCGTTTTCTCAATAAGAATAATCTTACAAGTAACGAATCTAGAAACCCAGCTAATAATATATCATGCATATTTCTCATCATTAATGACATATGGTATCTTGATCTGGGGTAACTCTCCTCATTCAAAAAAAAATTTTAAATTACAAAAAAAGTAATACGAATTATTGGCAAAGTTCCCTCTAGAACCCCTAGTAAAAAACTGTTTCAAAACTTTAAAGTTCTTACATTTTACGATCACTATATTTTGGAAATAGCATGCTGGGTCCATAGAAACCTCTCTACTTTTATGGAGACCCAAACTCAACATAATTACAATACAAGAAAAAAGAATATTATCAAACCTGTAGCTCATAATTTACAAATATTTGAGTCATCACCACAATACATTGGTCCAAAAATCTTAAATAACTTACCAACAAGTTTAATCACTCTAGAAAATCCCTATAAGTTTAGACTTTATTTAAAAGAATGGCTCAAGACTAAATCTTTTTTTTCATTGGCAGATTATTTTAAGGACTGCTGGAAAAGGTATAAGTAAACCTTCACACTCCTGCTGGCTCAATTTTTTTGTCATGTAACAATGTTGTATTTTGGGAAGATTCAGTTGTTTTATGTAAATACAGATTTATTAGTTTTATCTACAGTATTAGTTTTAAGTCTTTATTTAACCATTGACAATATGTCCTGTTAATGACATGTAACTCAATAAAAAAAAAAAAAAAAAAAAATAGATGGTAATAAGTAGAAATGGATGGGTCCTGAAATTTTAGGAAAATATTTATCCGATTTTCGGGACGGGGTTTGTCCAATCGTTGACGTTTTTGCCGTTTTACGAGTGACGATGACGCCGTTATCGTGAGAGATGTTCATGATAGTTCCGCTAACGCAGGAGGCGAAGTCAACGATCCCACCGTGACTATGAGTCATTACGACGATTGCGCCGTGACCGCGGAGTTATTTTGATAATCCCGCCGAGACCCCGAGTCATACCAATGATCACGCCATGACCACGAGCCAAAGCGACAATCACGCCAAGACCGTGAGTCATATCGACCATCACGCCGTTACTGTGAGTAATTTTGACGATCGTGCCCTGACCACGAGTCATTTCCACGATCCTGCTGTGACCGCGAGTAATTTCAACCATCGCGCCATAACCGCGAGTCACCAGTTTCTATATCTGTACATTTTTACCAATTTCTAGTTTTTATAGATCAGTGCCACAAACGGTGAAAATTTTTTTTATTTGTCTTTTTTGGTAACTGCAATACTCAAAACTTTTTAAACATCCCTTTTTATGCATAGGATGAAATCCCATCCCGTCCCGTCGGGAACAAAAAATTCAATCCCGTCCATCCCTAGTAATAGTTGGATCTTTAAGTTTACAACCCCTTAAGTATTAATTCTCTTTGGATATAACGTGGTAATATGATAAACAAATTGTTTCTCCGTTTTTTTACCTAGACTCAGAATTCGATTATACAATGCATATTCATGTTAGGGGTCTACGATATAGGATTTTTTACTTTTGTTCTGGTCAGGATGTGTAAAAAGTTTTAATCTTTGGGTCTTGCGTGAACATCGTTCGTTGGTTGGGTGGAAATCGTTTGCTTTATAAATTATTGATTTTATTATTATTATTTGTTTTATCTCAATTACTTATAAAATATTATATATTACTAATATTGTAAGAGAGCCATTCGTTTAGTAGCCTCGGGTTGGTCACTTTGCAAGTATTGGAGTTGGCACAGTCATTCTTGTAGAGTTGTGAGTAGCAGGTCAGCTGTTCTTTTTTGAGGTTCAAGTAATCGTTTTTCAATATTTTGCAATGTCTCAAATTTGTGACATAATAGAAAATCCCACCAAGTGTGAGATGCAAGCTGTTATAAGATTTTTAAGTGAAAAAAGTATTCGACCACAGCTATTGATCAGAAATATGTGCATTGAATAGACCAAATTTTATGAACAAATAAGTAGTTGGTAAATAGTTTCAGAAGTAAGAAGAACCATGTAAAAAAGAGCCATGGTAAGCTGACCAGCAATGTCAGGATTTTTATTGCAATGTCAGATCTTACGCTGCTCAGATAACAACAGGTGTTCTGGGAAAGTTCAGTTGGGACATATTCCTAGATCTTAGTAGCCTTTTGATGGTTCGAAACTGGATCCAGTTGTCCAGCTCAGTTTTAGCTCAATCATGGTGAAATCATGAATTTTCAATCACACAATCTTCGCAAAGGATTTGTGCAATCAACAATATAACCTTTAAAACAAACGACCCAACGTGAAAACTATTTACACCCTGTAATGACCTCTCAAGCCAACTGTTGACTCGACCCAATATTTAAACTCAACTCTGTAGATGACAGTTCTATGTAATACTACCCGATCGTTCAGCTGACCTTGTTAGCGAATTTCCCATATAAGGAATAAGCTATTACCGTAGGTCTCATGGTAAGACCTAGACCCGGGACCGATTTACTTTTTCGTTTTGAGGTCCCCAGAGGCCAAAAACACCATCCGTTCAAATTCATATATATATATATGTGTCCGTTAGCGCGATAACTCGAGCAAAATCGATCCGATTTTGATGAAATTTGGTACAAACGTGTAAACCTACATTTATTCGAACGAGTTCGCGAACCAGCCTAATCGGACCATGGGACCAGGGGTTTATGGGGGGTTTTATGGGGTAAAAATGTGTTTTTCTCATTTTTGACCCTAAAAACTTTAAATTTCTAAATTTATCTCTGGACCATTTTGAAGAACTTAAAAAACAAATAATTTAGTATATTGAAGTTTTTTTGAATGTTCATTGACTACGGAGAAAATTAAAGAAATTGTAAATTTAAAATTCCCATGTTATTCTTATGGAGAATAAATAAACTGTTCTAGTTTGCTTGTTTATGGATATATTTGAATCAAATTTGGCAATTTGGCTTATTTCATACTAAGCTATCAATATTTCAATTGAAAAAACACACCTTAACATCTTTCCTGTAGCAGCAAACCTAACTACTCACCAAAATTAATGTTATTTAAATAGGAAATAAATCTGAAAATTTATAGGGAATATTTGAGTAGAAATCAAGTCGGGTGAATGGAAATTCGCTTAGTATGCAGGTTTGCTGCGACGGGGGTATTTTTTTTTTCAATGGCCAGCTGCAATAATAGGAATTATGTTTCAAACATTGTATCTGATATATTACCAACTTAAACTCTATAAAGTTGAATATTAATTGCCATGATAATTAAAACTAAATATAAAAAATGTGGTTTTCATTAAATTGATGTATATAATTAAGCTGTTAACTTTTCAGTTAACTCTAGAATGAAGTTATAGCGTCTAATTGGTTTTCTGGTTTATTTGCAGGATGAGTGTAGAGCGAGTAGATAACACCGAGTTTCTACAGGACACTCTGCAGCGTCCTGGGGCCAGACTTCGGCCAGCCTTTGACCTCAAGTACATCACGTACGGGTTTGCCTACCTGCAAGACATGATAGACCACCTGGTGATACAGGAGCAAACGGGAGTTACGAATATACCCGGAACATTCCTGCAGCAGTTCCCCTACCCATGCTATGTTGAGGACAGGTAAACCACAGTTATGTCTGTTGCACACGTTCTGCATTGCTACTTTCTAAAAGTAACTTATAAAAAAGAACTTTCCAAACTGCTTGTCACAGCAACTATACCAGTCTAAGGTCAGTAATTTTCACAAAAACTCTCAAACAATTAAAGGCCTACCCTTTTTTCTAAAAATGCAGTCTTTGGACATACCATGTGAATGTAAATATTATTAATTAGTTCTCTTAATAAAATTCAAATATTGATACACTTTTTTTATTGAGTTTAACACTAACATTTAAACCACTTAATATTTTTATTAGTGATGGGCGGATCCAAGAAAATCTCGGTACCGGATCCGGATCCAGATCTTGAGATCTTAAAAAATTTGGTTCCGGATCTTCAGATCAGGGTGTCTACCAACCGGGAAATCCGGGAAAACCGGGAATTGTACTTAAATTTTTACTGGCCATGAAATGTACGGGAATTGTCCTTAAATGCTAGACAATGTCCTTAAATTTTTAATGGGCTATAATTTTATTGATCGCTAGTTGGTTAGGAGCACATAAAAGGTTTATCAGATGTTTGTTTACATTTTTATATTTTATTACTAGAGTAATTATGCAATAAAAATCCCATTAACAATCTCAAACCCATTAATATTTTATCACGACAATCAAGTGTCAAGTCAAGTACTTCCAAGAACTGTTGACTCAGCAGCTAGCTCATAAAAGTTGTATCACTTTTATTCCTTCACAACTTCTTTTTTTATCACACGGTACAAATTCCCTATTATAATAATAATGTTTGTTTACGATCTTCATAATTTATTACTGGGGTGGTGATGCAATAAAAAACCCATTAGCAGTCCCAAATCCATTAACATTTTATCACGACAATAACATTTTATCTCGACAATAATTGTTGTTGATTAATATGGGGTTAATTAATAATGAAATGATTTATGGATGAATGTACCTTTGGAATTATGTCGGACGTAGTGAGCGGCAAGGAAGCGGCGCGGGGTCGAGTTGCGATGGTAGATGGTAGAATGTCCTCAAGACGAAGGCACAACACTTGACACTATCTTCTTGTGTTGAAGTCTTGATCTTGATGTCGGAATAACGCACGTCTAAAAGTCTATACAGTCCAAAATGAGCGCTTACAAGAAGTTCCTACGCGACCGCGGTAGACCGGAATGGGAGGATTCACTGTTAAACTGACTTTACACACTGGTTAATACAAGTAATTTAATTTAAAGAGGAAAAATGTTATGAGTACTATACAAAGGGGCCATGGACGATTCCGAGTGGCAATAATAGAGAATTAAAACTATAAGAGGGAAAGCCACAATGGCAGAGAAAATTAATTATGTCAGAGTGACATGTGTTAGGTAAACCCGGCAACCAACAGACTGGGCAAGCGTCCCGATGCGACGCTAAAACTTCGCAAAAATATCCTTCCGCCAAGTTAACCAATGGGCATTGTGCTGACCCCACTAGGTTCAATTGAAAACCCCTCCTCTCTCTCTGTCGGCGGCAAATACAAATGCATAAATTATACATAGTACAAGAAATAAAAACATTTTCCTGAAAACTTACTTAACATACCGGCGGCTTTGAATCAATATGATTGATTCAACAATAGATGAATGACACACAATTCCATAGAAAAAATAAGTAAAACATTGCAAACATGATATGAAACTATTTACTATTTACAAGCTAAATCCGTTTGATTTTAGTCTGTGTGACTTATAAACGGCAGCAAAAACACTTTGACTGCCGGTCGAATGAGAGTACCCTGTGGAGTTTTAAGCTTGACCACACGCACAATGTTATCGTGTGCAGTAGTCACATCAATCACTCGACCTAGAGGCCAACTTAGCGAAGGTGTTTTTTGATGAATATGGTCAATGAATAAGTCCACGATGTGATGTTTCTTTGGCAAAATACCAGGGTGACGAACATCTTCAGTTACGTCTGCATGTTTCAGACGACCACCTACACGCAAGAGGCCATCTTGATCGAGGAAAGGAGTCAAACGTTGTAATCTAGTTGAGCAGGGTTTGTTATTCTGTAAAGCTAGAATATCTTCAGCGAAGGAGGCCCTTTGAATAAGTTTAAAAATCCGAAGTTGGGCAGTTTGTGCTTCAGATACAGAGATAGGTCCTACACGACGTTCTTGCCGGCGGCTGTGATCGACGAAGCGGAGAATGTAGACCATCACGTGCAGGAGTTTAGACCATGATGAATAACGAAGAAGTAAATCCCAGGGAAGTTGGGGAGTAATGGTAAGCACAGTCAATGGAGTAGATTTAACTTCGTCCAGATTATCTAAATTTATGGGGTTGAAGTTAGAGATTGGCCAATCCGCAGGGGGGAGTTGTAGCCAGGCGTGTCCGTGCCACCAAAGTGAGTGGTTTACCAATTCAGAAGGTAATATTCCTCGTGACGCACAGTCCGCAGGATTGTCGGTACTAGACACGTGTCTCCAACAATGGGAGGGAATGAGCTCTTGAATTTGAGCCACCCGGTTCGCCACATATGTCTTCAGACGATACGGGAGAGTTTTTATCCATGAGAGGGTTACAGTAGAGTCACACCACAAGGTTATGGAGTTAATGGTTAAGACACTAGAATATTGAGAACGTACATATTGGACTAATTGAGATAGCAGATGCGCCGCGCACAACTCTAGCCGTGGTAAAGTCACTTTCTTCAAAGGTGCAGCACGAGTTTTAGATATTATCTGAGTGACATGCACATTCTGATCAGCGTTAACGTCTCGCAAATATACCACAGCAGCATAACCAGCCTCAGAAGCGTCCGAAAAACCGTAAAGCTCATAGACACCGCTTGAAGAGAATATAATTGGTCGGGGAATCGACAGTCTATCAATGTTCTGTAGATCGGCTACGAAATTATGCCACTTTAGGTCGAGTTCCGAAGTTAGGGGTTCGTCCCAAGAGATACCGGAAGTCCATAGTACTTGCATGAAGCGCTTGGCAATCATGACGCAAGGGGACAGAAAACCACATGGGTCGTAAATCCTGGCGATTAAACTTAGCACTTTGCGCTTTGTCGGAGATTCACAAGAGAAATTGAGATTGTATTTAAAACAATCTGTCACAGGAGACCAATAGAGTCCTAAAATGGAGAACATAGGGTCTGAAGAGGCTTGAAGAAACACAGGAGATTCTTGATGAGAAATAGGCAATTTTTGTAACAGTTGAGGACAGTTAGACACCCACTTTCTTAATTCAAAACCGCCTAAGCGGAGGAGTTCAATTAATTGATCTTGCAGTTCCAAAGCTTCTGCTTCAGTTGATGCTCCAGCGATTAGGTCGTCCACATAGCTGTGATGTTGAAGGATTTGAGCCGCTTCTGGGAAGTTAGATCCTTCATCCTTAGCCAATTGCTTAAGGGTCTTTATGGCAAGGTATGGTGAACAATTCATGCCATATGTCACAGTGGTCAACTGGTATGTTGACAGCGGAAGTGAGGGGGTTTCACGCCAAAGGATAAGCTGATACCTTTGATCGTCTTTATGGACTTTTATTTGCCGATACATCTGGCGGATGTCACAAGAAAAGACAAATTTATTTATCCGAAAATGTAACAGAATATCACAGATATTGTTCTGTAATTTCGGACCCATGAGAAGAATGTCATTCAATGACAGACCAGAACTGGTCTTTGAACTCGCATCAAAAACGACGCGGAGTTTAGTAGTGTTGCTTTGAGCTTTCAATACCCCATGATGCGGGAGGAAATAATGTGGCTCAGATAGAGCGAGGTTTGGGCACATTTCCATATGTCCTAGAGAATGATATTCCGACATGAAGCCTGAATAAAGGTTGCGAAATTCCACATTGTTTGAGTGTTGCAGTTTCCTTTCTAGAGATTGGAAGCGTTGTTCAGCGATAGGCTTAGAAGTGCCAAGGGTGGAAGGAGAATGTTCACTTGAAAATGGCAGTCGTACAGTGTAACGTCCGGAAGAGTCACGAGAATGCGTGGTATCAAAAAGGGTATCGCACGCAATTTCTTCAGCAGATTTTCTAGAACAGGAAGGCAGTTCCTCTTGAGTCCAAAAACGTTGCAGTGAAGAGTGGAGGTCAATATCCGCAGTGGAGAGGAGAGATATAGAGAGATGAGAGGCTGTCGGAGAAGGAGTAGAACACGGAGCTGTTCCAGCGATGACGTAACCAAAAATGGTACCAAGAGCATAAGGCATTTGATCGCCTAACGAGTGACATTCATTTGTTAGCACTTGAGGAAATAATGCACATCCTATAAGGACGTCAATGGGACCCGGCTTATGGAATGTTGGGTCTGCGAGAACGAAAGGTTTCACCTTCTGTAGTACTTCCGGGGTGAGTTCCACACTCGGTAAGTCGATAGAGATTTTTTCTAAAATATGAAAACAGTGTTTTTGGACAACTAAGTGGCCTGAGAGTGACTCAACATTAACACTAAGTGAGCCTTTGGTTTGAGTGAGAGACTGAGCTAGCCCCGTGACAGAGAGATTAGAAGGGTGGCGTCGAGTACCCAAGAGTTGAGCAGCTCTCTCAGAAATAAAGTCGGACATACTACCAGAATCTAGTAATGCTCGGAATACAAAGGAGTGGCCATTAGCAGCGGTGAGTTTTACTAACGCCGTGCTGAGAAGGACAGTACTGTTATGGGGAACATTTTTTTGCTGAACAGAACAAGTCATCGAAGTCGAAGCACTCTGTGCAGACGTGGGCACGGGAACTGTAGCAGTGGGGCGCTGCGAGTGACCTTGAGTATTGCTAAAATGCAGAAGTGAGTGATGCTTATTGCCACAAGTTATACAGGAGAATTTAGATTGGCATTCCTTTACATGATGCAGACCGAGACAAGAGATACATCTTTGGTTATTCTTAACGATCTGATAGCGATCGTTTGGAGATTTACCTTTGAACAACTTACATTTATATATTGTGTGACCAGGCTTACCACAGCAAAAACAAGAATGATCCATAAATGTTGACGATTTATTAG